CTGGGGACTCCAATAGGCAGAGGTGACAAAGGAAGGCATTCTAGGTGTGGAGACCAGCCTGGACAAAGAACCCAGAGGCAGGAGGGTGCATGCTAATTGAGGGAGGAATAGCAAATAGGTCAGTTTGACTGAAAGGCACTATCCCAATCCAACTCAACCTAAGGAATAGTTTATTCAATGCTTACTAACTGCAAAATACAGCATTACGCACTAGCAATACAAAGACAAAATAAGAACAGATCTTACCCTCAAAGAGCTTACGTTCTACTTGGGGGGAAGAAGTCACTTTTAGTATGTCTGTAAATTGTATGGTTGTAATTGAATAATTTAATCCTACTTCATGTTTTAACATAAATCCTTTTCAACCTATAATATTTTAATTCATTGTGGGTTTTTTTTTGGTTTTATTTTGTTTGGGGTTTCTTTGTTAGGTACAGAGAAGCTGGGGGGGGATGGAATCTGAAAATCTTAATTGGCGTACTCAAAACTCCCTAACAGAAAGATTGGCTACATCACATTTGGTGTGACCAGAATAGGTCACTACCTGAGTCCCGCAAAAATCTGGTCACAAGCAGAAGAGAAAAGGCATAACAGAGGAGAAGAAAAGGATCATAATTAAACCCTGCCCTTCTGATATAAAATGAAATTCTCCTTTCAACGATCATAGGTAAGTTTCAAAGCCTCTGAGATAAAAGCAACTATGCTGTTCAAGTGATTGCTTCCTAAGGACACTTATCAAAAGTAAAAGAAAATTTTCAAAAAATAGTAAGGATAAGCTCTCTGAATGAACTACATATTAAATACTTTCTCACTAGTCCTTCTCCTAAAGCCCACCATAGTGTATTAGGAAAAATAAAGTATTCATTTTCTTGATATTGATTTCACTTGAGTAAAAGAGTATAAAATTGAAATGTTCAGTTTTAGAAACATAGAGACATTTTTAACTGTTAGGATGTGTCTGTTTGTCCTTTCTTTATTTTTCCTCTATTTTTAAAAAAAAGATTTTAAATAAAATATATTTCCCACCTCCCCCTGAAAAACAAAACAAAACACGTATGTAAATAGATGCAAAACAGGTCCCATAAATGATGCATTTAAAGTAAGGTTAAATTTCTATCCAAGTTGACTTTACCTCAAAATTGTAATCATTTTGGCTTTCAGATAGTCACTATATAAGGGAATTTCCTAGTCTGCTGCCAGTATTCTTCATGAAGCTTCTCCTAAAATATAGTTTATTAATGTTTTAGAAACTAAAAAGAGTAAATATTTATGCATCTTGGAATTAACTTCTCAGTTTATAAACTTTGCCAAAAATAAATAAATAAAAAGTCTCCTTTCCTCCAATTCCCACACCCCCTAATAGAACTGCTTAATATTTCTGAAGTAATGAAAAATCACAGTAAAACATCTGTAACATTTCCTCAGGGGGGGAAAAAAGATGAGGAACAGTTAAGGTGGATTTCTTTCTCCTTTTTGGACAGTATGACAAGGTCTCAGCAGAACAATTCTCCTCAGTACCAAGCCTCCTTCCACAAGTTCAAACTCCTAACTCCAGCCATACACTCTGCTTGAGAGGGCAGAAGAGTTACTTAACAGCCTTTGTTGTCTCAGTGCAAGTGAACAAAATCATTTCAGAAAATGTTATTTCAGAGCAAAAGCTAGAATGAACTTGCAGCTGCTCTGGGGGGCAAAGCAACAGTCACCTTCTAAACTTTTGACATGCCTCTTCGTTCTTGGCCTCCGTTAGCATGTACTACTTGTAGGTAAGAACGGCAAGAGGAAATGTAGTTCTGTCCCCAAGGTCCCTTGAAGACTCCACCAGATGACCAGGGTTAGATCTCAAACAACAGGACACCACAGGCCCCCAGCCACATGGCCATTTTTGTCCACCAATCCTTTGTCAAACATTTAAGATCTTAATCAATCTTAGCTCTGACCTCCAAGCACCCAAGGAAGATGGATGAGGAAGCAGGTGACCTTTCCCCTTCTCTTGTATTTATCCTGCCACAGTAGACCCATTGAAAAAACAATTGGGGCGGAACCTGCTCCCAGAGTTCTGAAACCTCTACCAGGACTCTGCTCTATCGGCTTTCTTAGGCTTAAGCTTTTTTCACCCAGATTCTCTCTTGCCCAGCCCCCAACCCAACTCATCTCACCCAATAGAAAATGTTCTTTCTAAGGCATCAAGAAATGAGTAGAACTTGATCCAACATAATTTAAGAGGAATATAAGATTCAAATGTTTAACTTCTTTTGGTAGGACTATAGCCCTAGTATTAGAAAGCAATACTACTATAAAGTACTCTGCCCCTCACCCAGTGTCCAGGCAAATAGCTATGAATTTGGGATACAGATTATGATAAAAATGAAACCACAATAACCATGGAAGGGAATAATTTTTATTTCCATTGATTTTTTTTTAAACTGTCTTAAGTCATGTGAAAAGAGTCACACGTTATTTTAGCATTGGAGGAATTCTTTGTCATTTAAGTTTTTCCTCTCTGATACCCATGACTTCATCACAGATTATTACTGGATAGGGGCTGGGGATATAGAAACCCTGCAGCAGAAGATAAGAGGTAGAAAATATTGGAGAAAGACCAGGCAAGACCAGTCTTTCCGACTAAAGTTCTATGAAGGTATAAATAAAATCTCTGAAAAATTCTCCATATATTCATTCATTCTAAAATCACTCAACCTACCTCCACTATCAACCAATGAATAGAAGTTTCTTAAGCTAAAACCAGTTCACTCAGGAAATGGACTGCATCTGACTCACTCAACTGCTCCTCATGGACCTTCTACTAGGTGGCATTTTATTCTGCCTCCTCCCTTCTAAATTCCCATGATTATTTCCATTAAAAAAAAAACCACTAAATAGGTTGATTACCTTTCCATTCACTTTCCTTTCCATCTCTTTCTCTTTCCCCCCTAATTTGAGTTGTAAAAATGTCAGGAACTCTCACACATAGCAAGTATGAGTTATTGAACTCTGCAACAACTGAAAATCAATGACTTTGGATACACTAAGAATTACTAATGCTCAAAGAGTGAGCATTTAGCAGGAACCAGAAGCCAACAGTGTTTTCAACGGTCCTTGACATGAAGAGATGTGTAAGTTGCTGTCTTGCAGAAATCCACAAGACAGAATAATTTACTCTAAATACGATGTCCTGTCACTTCACTGTGTTTTTCAATTTTTGCCGCCATCATGATTTAGTTGCCTGTAAGATATGCTTATGTATTTTCTCATCAGAATGCCAGAAAGAATCACAAGTTTGCAAGGTGGCATAGGTTAAATAGTGGTTATTAACTCAAGGGCAAAACAATGAAATGCCAAGAATTAAGGTTTTAAAGGCATTTCAAGTGTGATGTTTAAATGCAAATTACTTTCTTACACTGGGTCTGCAGGAACAGTTGACAGACAACTTTTGTCGTTATTTTATAATGAAATTAAACAAGAGCTGAAAATAGTTACCTCCCCCAAAAGAAAAACTAGCAACACCTCAGGAAAGCTGCCATTAAAACTCCTTTTCAAATACTTCATCAACTACTATGAACTATGAAAGTCAAATTCAATGGTTTCTATGATCCAACAGAATCCTTTTTAAAAAAGCCATAAATATGGGCTGTCTTTCAATCAATTGGAGTGCTACCCAGTTGATCAATTCTTTCCTTTAAGTTAGTTAAAAGGTCTGAACAGTCATTCGGCAATCAGCTGTCTTAGTCACCCTAATGACCAAATCAGATGAACATGTGGCAATTCCATTTATCACTCAGCAATTCAAAATCTGATAAGCCACGTAGGGGTTCAATTCTAAGTTATGTTAGACTGGAACTGTTTGGTCCTCATATCAGTAATAAAGATAACAAAAATAAAAATCATTGCTACATTTTAAAAAAAATCAATTTAGGAAAGCATTGGATAATTTTGTCTTTTCAGTAACCTTTTATTCCTGTTAATGCACAGACCCAGAGGGTATTATAAATGGAATTTTTAGTCCCTATCACAGAAGCACAATAACTACAAATAGGATATATATACATATATATAAACACATAAAATATACACACATATATATTTATGTTTATGTAAATATATACACACATATGTATGTATACACACATACATACAATCAGTCTTCTATTTGAAACAGAAAGTTACACAAAAAAGAGGTAGCAATAAGCTACACACACAAATTACTCAACAAAATGGCCATTAGTCATTAATGAGATAAACTGCTTAGACTTCTTAGAAGACTAAAGCAATCGAAATAAATCACAATTTGCTGCCTGTGACCACAAATCAAATCAAAGAGCTCTTACCAACTTTGTACCACCTCCTAAGGGACATAAAGAGGGTTTATGTCAAAATTAATTTTACTTGGAGTGGTGTCTATTTGTGCATAGTGGAAGTTAGTGTGCCTGAGAGAAACAGCCATACCAGTTTGTGGCCCATTTGTCCAAAGATGGACAGGGACACAGTGATAATGGACAAGTTGCTCACAGTGGATCCATTTTCATCAACTGAGCTGGTTGGATTGGAACGACCCAATCATCTCATCATGTTGACTCTACCCACATATTAACACATGGCTACACAAATGTTGGTGCTTTCCTATTTTACCAAACATTCCTACTAGGAAAACTATCGCTCAAGATATGAGTGCCCTCTCTCTTTAAGTGAGGATCAGTCAAGTGTATCTATTGCTTCAGTGGGTTCATTTAAATTGCACAGGATACATCAAGCCAGTTCGGATCTAAGAGCCTGTTAGCAAATGTGTTTGACCTTCTGCTGATTATAGCAAGATCATTTGTTTTGTCAGAATTATAAACGTCTTAGCCTTGCCACCTGGAGCTTTTGGACTTGCTCATTAGACCCCTCTGTCCCATTGCATCCCACAGGGGCTGCTAATTACTGGCTTTACTCCATTTAGTCTCATCTCTGATTTAATTATGTGCACTAAGCCCTAATGAAAAGTACAATATGGCTGTTCCTACCTTGGCATTCTCCATTTCTTTCTTCATGCCCAGCATTGCATAGACAGTTGCCAATGGGTACCAGCCATTCACCATCTGCCCCACAATACATTTTTGGCACATCCTTCTCTTCTGAGTTGTTGACACAGGAGCCTCGAACTTCCACTAGCGAGGACGTATCAGCCCCAGTGATGGTGTCTGGAAATTGAGCCAGATTGCGAACTGTCAATGGACACTTCTTATAGAAAACTCGAACAGATACTAGGGCAATGCAAGCTCCGACATCCTGAAAAGCCAAGTAGAACCCTTTCTTGCTCAATGGTCCCACATCTCTTATCTCAGTGTTCAACTTCATGATTCTATCACCAATGTCCACTTGGGTGAAGCTCTCATCAGCAGCAATGGTGTCAATCTTGGCAAACTGGCTTTCTCTGATGAAGCGCTCTTTGTCATTGTTGGATTCGTAGTAGTATAAGTTAAAAGTCTCTTTGCAAGTTCCCATAACTCCTGGTAGACTATTGCAGTCCCTCAGTGTGAATTTAATCTCAATATATACCCTCTGAGCCCCTTCCCGGGGAATCCAATCAGTTCGTAACCAGTTGTTTTGGCTGGACTCCATCACATTGCAGACTTGGTAAGTACGGATCGGAGTGTTTTTCTCATCCATAATGCTCACTTCTTCCCACTGTGAATATCCAAAGAGAAATAAACCCAATGAAAATTTGCATCAAAGCATTACTTGATAATTCTTTCTTCCTCTGGTAAGGCCCTAATTTTGTTTGTTTCCAACATCAGAACTACTAAAAGATGAGTATACAAAACCTGAGAAATACAAAATCCAACTATAGAGGTCTCTTAGGAGAAACACAATCATAATCAATTATAAGATATCTTGGTGGCTAAGCATTATTTCATCTGTTCTATTTCTTGAATAAGAGCCAAAGATTCAGGTAATCCCATTTATGGTGAGTTGATTGTCTGTGAGTTCTCCACAGCTATTTCTGGTGGTCTAACAGCCTCCAGTTCACCTATTACAACAGCCTCAATTGGAAGTGGCAACAGTTCAAATTTGCTTATAAATGAAAACCCAGTAATGTGTATTGTTTCAACAATTGAGCAGAGACCTGCAAATTAAGGACAGGAAGAGTGTAGCTTGCCAAAGGAAGACAATTATCAGTTAATTAGTATAACTCCTGTCAGAACTTTGCTCCCTAATACCTAAAAAATGTCAGTCTTTCTTGTTGGCACAATCCCTGTTCTTTAAAAAGAAACACACACACACACACACACACACACACACACACATTCACACCATTCTGTGATCTCAAGTAATCCCGAGAAAATGGACAGTCAACAGTAAAGCCAAGAATACCAGATATGGGGCCATTTGCAATGGCAGCTCTAACGTTAAAACCATTTGTTCTATAATCATCATGTATGTTTGTTTATTCCTTTTGAAATTTCAGAAATCCAAAAGTTTTAAGTAAGGAATATGGCACTGAACCCATTTTGTTTCATTCTAAATCTGCCTTGAAGAGTGGAAAATAAACTAGCAGATGGAAATTATGTCACCAGAATGAGAAAATTTAACAGGAGTGGGAGCCGTGACATGCAGGCTGAATTTGACGTGCCTGGAAAATATGCTTGGCCCTATTTGTTATTCAAAGGACTACAGATCTAGAGACCATATAGTTCAATCCCTTCAATTCATGGATGAGGAAACTGAGGCTCAGGAAATGACTTGTCCACGATCACACAGGTCCTATTGGAGGTGGGATCTGCACTCAGGTTCTTTGACTTCAGAGCTAAGGTTCTTTCCATTGGACCACACACTTCCCTTGTCACTTGTTAAAGATGTCCCTCCCTATATCAGGATAGGTTTGAAAGTGTAATAGGCTGGCAAAGCCATGAGATGGTTGTCCATCCCATCATCCATTAACATCCAATCTACTGATTTTCCATAGATCTGACATAAATCTGCCAGAGTAGCAACAGAGGAATATCACTAGAAGGAAAAAAGGTGACTTAAAAATGTGTGTTACATAATAGTTCCACTTAAACCTTCATTTTGCTCAAAGAATTATATAAAATTATTACACATCTTCCAGAGGCATCCCCAGAGATACTATTGAATATTAGTAGTGGAGTAAATAAATTAGCTATACATGAGAGAGTTCATAATATGTAAATTCTTTATTTTATCTGCTACCATTGAGAAAGTTGGATTAGGGGGACTAGGGCCAGGGATGAAGTAAGTATGCAGTATGAATCAAAATTTATTTTCTTCCTTCTAATTAGCAAGCAATTGCAATAATTTCCTTTATTTGGGAAAATAGTTGATGAATCCAATATATAATCTTCCCCCAAAAAAATATTCACTAAGTTATTCCATCTCAGTGGAAAGGGAATATCCTAATCTAAACTGAGACACATAGGTTTTGTCTACACAGTATGAAACAGGATATCTAAAGCCCCAAAGTGGGCTTTTTCCACTGATGCTTCCTGCCTGACTAACTACATAGCTCAAATTAACTGAACCACTGACAAAACTTCCCATTCACTGCATCCTAGGGTATACAGAGCAATACCACGAATGGTCAGCTCTTTTCAATGAGAATTGCTCCTGAATGAAGTTCTGTGTTAAAAGGATGCCATGGAGATTAGGTTCTGTAGGATTGGTCTCATGGATAAAGGTGTGAGAGAATAAGGAGTCTCCCATGATCTATGATGATTTGCTTGGTGTCTTTTCCAAAATGTGTTGTTATTAACAAAAATCAATCAATTTTCCCTCTATGATTGTAACTATCATCCCAAGGTAACAATATTTCAGATTCCCAACCAAAAAAAGATATCACATATTATAAATAATAACAATAATAATAATTCCTGACTTTATATTACTTTATATAGCACTTTAAAATTGTCATATCATTACGTATGATAAGCAGTTTAAAAAAAAAGAGAGACTTAGCTTTAACATCCAATTCAACCCTTACTTGAACTTCGAGGCATTAAACTTTTTCAACTATGAAATTTAGAGAAAGTAGTAAATTAAGTTTATAACTCAGAATATTAATTGTACTAGAGCTATCCTGTATTTGGGAATAGGTAGTGGTATATAATTCATACGTTTTACCCCCACCATCTCATAACATAATAATGTCAGACATGTAAAGAATTATCTACAATACACCCATAAGATAGTTCTGCAGTATATACATTTATCCAGCAATAGCTTCCAATACATAAATAAATAAACTATCATAGTTAAAAAAAAAGTTTTCTGTCTATAAAAACTGACCAGGCTGCTCTTTCAACAATTCTGGAAAAGAAAAATTGAGAATATGTTAATTTGCAATATAAACTTGCAAAGAACCAGACAGGCTGTAGAGTAGGCTCTAAAATTTGTCACTAACTTGATTAAAGTAGGCCACATGTATAGGGATTTAGTGAAATGTCAGGTCCAACGTAAAATTGTAGGCATTCCTTAGTCAAACTGGAGAATAGCTTTCAATAAGGAAAATCTGGCAAGTGAACATGATTAATAATTCACTGACACATTCCATCTTCAATTTTACTGATAGTTCTCATATATTTTAATCTACTGAGAAGTACCCTTGGTGCAGCCATGAAATCCTGTGTGAATCAATGACCTTTCCAGGGTATAGGATTAACAAGAAGCCTGACTCTCACTGAGATAAAGCTGTACCTTTCTCCACTGTCAAAGGATGAGGGCAATTGCCTACAATCAACAATGAATACAGCCTGTCTACACTGCCAGAGACCTGCCAATCACAGCATCCCTTTAAAAAAAATGGTTTCGAGGCCAGTCTGGTATTTTTCAACACGAAAACTACAGAAAATTGCACTCAAGTTCAGGCAAAAAACAAAACAAAATTAAAAAAAAAAACAAGGCAAAGTAATATCTCATTTTTATTTGCCTCAGATGGACAAGTCAAATTTCTGCTAGAATAAGGGCCTTTATAAAGCAGCCTAAAATTTCTTCAGCTCTACTAACCATTTCTTTGCCTTATTTTTGGAAGAACATGTTCACCTGCAATAGCTCCTATAAATCTTTTTCCTTATAAATCACTCAAGTGTTTATTCAGCTCAAGGGTGTGTGGCACCATACTGGGGACTAGTTCTTGTATTTTGCTTAGTAAAGCCTCTTAATCTTGCAACCCCATTATTTTCAATCAGCGAATCTTAGAACACTAAGAGTGTAAGGCAGGGTCATTTGTTTAATTTCTAAAGGATTTGAGAGCAGGAGCAAGATGCACAATGCTGACATATTTCAAAGACTATTTCCTAGGTTTAATAATTAAGGGGGGATGGGGAAGGAGGAGAAAAGTTGCCATTTGCCTCTTTTCATTTCTTACATCTTCAGATGCAGGCAGTGATCGGCAAGTGCTACATATACTGAGACAAATAAACAGTGAAATATTTGCACCAAAGATGAGGTCTCTCCTACTTAACCAGCCATCCCAACAACCCCTCCGACCTTAGATTAGAAATTTTCTAACTTTCCACATTCACCAAATGCAATGCACAAACCCAACCTTTTGGGTTGTTTCTGTTGAAGACAAGTGATGAAACTGGCATGAGATCAGATGGCTTTCCCACAGAGTACAGAGGAAAACACCAATGATTGGAGGCATGAGGCTTTGACAATGTGTATCCTCAGAATTGGACCTGCTTTCATGCAGTAAGACCTGCCTTCTCCCTCCTCTATCTTTATTTATTCATTTTTAAAAATCTGGAAATAACAATTGCTCCAAAGTTAACCCCTGTAAGGTCTTCCTTGGCTGTAACAGAAATAGGCATAGATTCCAGTTTGGTCCCCAGATCATGTTTCTTGTCGGTATTTTAGTTTTAAATAGGAATCTAAGTCCATGCCTCAACCAATCTCCTAATTTTGAAACCCCTTTCTGCCCTTTTGGTTTCTCGTTCTTCCATGACAGAGTTATCCAAAGGGAGTATAGGATTTCTCCAACAAAGCCTAATTCACTTCATAGGCCATGGAGGAAATCTGACCTCCTCACCACAATCAACAATAATCGGGCCATTAGGACTCTCCAGAAACTTACTAATCACTCTTTAAAAAAAAAAAACAAAAAACAAAAAAAAAACCCTCTTTTGATCAGCTCACCATTCAGAACTTACCCCTCCTTCCAAAGGGCTGGCTATCCACCCAAGCTCTCCCTGAACCGATCTGGAATCCAATAAGGTAACTGCAGAAAAACAAAGCAAAATAGATTAATTTCCAATCACTAAAAGCCAATACTACAGAAACTATTTGCTTGAGCATTTCCATATGTGAGCAGAGTAAGCACATCCAACTCTGATCTAAACCCAAACTTTGTTTCACTTATGTAAATAATCATTATTCACTTGATCTTCTCTCCCCTTTAAATCTGCAGGTTTTTATTTATTTAACTTGCCTAGCAGTTAACATTCCTTCCAAGGACTCTGTTAATCTACTTGGTTTTGAAGATAAATGCAGAATTCAAAATAAAATGAGATGATAATCTGGAGCAATTAAGCTCCAGAGTAAAATATTCAGATATCTATGAGTGGCATTGGATGGAATTATACTTATTTTCACAAGTTTCAGGTGACTATATGACCTAACTACGGGGCAAAGTCATAACTGAATTCTTTATTCGATTCCCTCAAGGATCATAAAAGACTAAAGGTTCTTTTTTTTTTTTTTGGTGTTGTTTTTTCCTTCTATCCTCCTTTTCTGCTTATCACAACTAAAACTATATGGCACGAATGTGGGATAAGCTGATTTTTAAAAATAGCAAAGTTTCAAAGGAAAGATGCCTGATGTGTTCCAGAATCATTGCCAAGTATGGAGAATAACATAGTCTATGGTCTTTTGGTGGAGATGGTTTGGTGTTACTGCCTTTGTTTTGTCTTTCACACCTCTGAAGAGTATTAGAGTTTTGAATTTTAGGTATATACAGTAGTATCTAATGAATTTGATGTGCTTCTTTCACCTTAACTCGGAACTGCAAACCAGGGCGCTATGAGACCACAGAAGTATGAAAGACGTCCTTTTTTGGGAACAGCTAAGGTCATTTACCTTTATGACATTGAAAGAATCCAAATGAATTCCCAATCATCTATCTCCATTCCCTTTCCCACCGTCCCTGATGATCTGGAGGCCCAAAGATCCACTAAAAATGAATCAATGACATATTAACTTGATCATCAAGGCCATCTAGAATGGGGTGAGGGGTAACAATTCTCCGGAATGGGTATGATGAATCCTTCCTCACTCCAACACCGCCCCCTTCTCATTATCTTGAATTCTTCCCTCCCCAGTAGTCCCCCCTTCCCAATCCATCTAATTATAATCAGTATTCCTCCTCCATTTCTTCCTATGGAGGGATTGAAATATCTTTGATCTGTGGATTATTTTAAAATGTAACTGCCATCTCCCCAGTCCCACCCCCAACCCCAGCACCTAGATCTCCCTCCACCCTTCCCCCACCTCCATATCTTTCTTCTCTCCCAAGAGAAAAGCATGCTACATCCATTTGGATTAATGTAAGGTGGATTAGGGAAACAAAGGGAACAATGCGACCCAATTTACAAAAAAAGGGGGGAGGGTAAAAAGGGAGAAAAGGAAACGTGATGAGAATCAAAAGAAGCAACAAAATGAATTTATTGAAAAAAATAAGGGGGGTAGTTAGAGAGGGAGGAGACATCCTGGTTTCTCCCTACTGCAGCTACGTCGGTGGGTTTTGGCTACAGCTATTTCACCCCAGTTCCAAGTTAGATTTTCTAGCCACCCCTAGTCCCATGGCTCCCTTTCCTTTCCCCTACCAATAAATAAACAAACAAGCAAACAGAAAAGAAAAGAAAGCAAAGAGAGGAAAGGGACTCTGCGTTTGGTGACATACGGGAATACTGGCGTCTCCTGGGACGAACTATCAAGTTCACCAAGTAGCAGAGGGAGCTCACAAGGCCTGATGGTTATCTGCCGCCTTCCACACCTGACAAGATAGCTGAGGAAAGTAGGCCCTGGGTGATCCAGGGGACGGCGATGAGATAGAAACATCTTTTCTCCCTCATAGACAGTCTTTCTCTGTAGTCAGGTGTGTATGTTTCTGATCTCCAGCCTCTCTAGTTCTGGGCATCCACCTACTTCTGCATTAGGTCTCTGGGACTACGTTGTTTTTCAGCCCCCCTCTCCCTTCGTACACAGAAAATGATAGATTGGATCAGAATGCATAGATTAGAGATCGATCGATGGATCGATAAATGATAGCACGCGCGCGCGCGCGCGCGCACACACACACGCACACACACACACACACACACCTCTCTATTGCCTCCCTGGTTGGGGAACCATCCTAATAAATTAACCCAGTTTCTCGGACAGCACAGATGCGCTCGCTCCAGACGCGCTGAGAATGAGCGGAGAAAGAGCTCCGTCCCTAGCTCTCTACAGCCTTTCTTTTGGAACTAAGACGCCACCTCCAGGGACGCTCGCAAGGGAGGGCCGCAAAAAGAAACCCTACAATCTGTTGGATTCCAACTTGCTTTTCCTTCCCCGAGAGCAGTAAGGATTATTTTAGCGGAGGAAGGAGAAAGCCCCCGGACCGCCAGTGCCAGGAGCGCATCCAGGAGTGTAGAGGGAACCCACCGTCTGAGAGGCACATCCCTGAAAAATCAGGTCACTAACATCCTATGGCTGGCGCAGCTGCCGCCGTCCTGCTGCAACCCCACAGCCTTATTTCTCGAGTTTAAAAAAAAAATACGAAAGAAAGAAAAAAAAAATAGCTCAGAGAGGGGAAAAAAAAACCAAAACTTTAAGACTCCAAGAGCAAGGGATGAAGTCTCAGAAGAAACAGAATTCCCCCACCCCACCCCTCTCCAGCCGCTGGACGTGCATCTCTCGCCCACCACTAACTCGCGATCCTTTGCAGAACACTCTCCTAGGATCTGCGTGGTGTTGGGTTACACCGCTCTACGGTGCCCGTGCCCTGTCCAGTCCTCTAGAGACACTGGCCCGAGGATGCTAATGAACTTTGGCCCCTCTCACCAAACTTGTGCAGACTTGCAGCATGCACCCACCGCGGCACCGGCGGCGCCCACCTGGGTTGCCCCAATCCCACCGTCCTTCCTCTTCTCCGGCTTGCACCACCCCGGCCCATCCCATACAGCCAGGAGGATGGCGCACACTCGGACCCCGGATCTAGGATCTCCGCAATAACCGGGTAAACCATCGTCTCTCCTCCCGTCCGTCCTCAGCGCGCGCACCCAACGAACCCTTACCTTCGTTGGCGGGATATATCCTAGAACCGGTGACACCATTGCAAATCCCAAACAGAAACGAAAAGAGGATGAAATAGAAAATCCCAGCCATGATTTTGTCGATGCCAGCGCCGCTCCTGCCTCTTCTATCCCAGTGGAATAAATGCTTAAGTTAGGAGTGCAGCGGGCTGTAGACATTGCCAAGGAGGAGGAGAACAGTGACGTCAGGCCGCCAGTCTGAAGCGGTGGGCCAATCGCGAAGGAGATCGCGCCGCTTTGTCTCCGCCCCGGCCTGCTGCTTGAAGTCCGCACTTCTCGGGTTTCCTCCCGCTTCTGCATTTTGCCGGGTGGTTGTCTCTGCAGAGGGAGATGCTGGTGTGTTGGGGGCTCTCCGCCTCCGGGGTTCCTTCTCTACTCTGGAGTATCAATCCTGTCCTCTGGCTGGAGCCAGAGTGAGTTCCAGCCTGAGGCTGAAAGTGACGGAAAATAAATAAAAGGCTGGGGGCGGGGGGGCATCATTAAGATTCTTCATCTCCTGGATCCTCACTCACTAAGTACCTGAAATAGGAGTCAAAACCCCGAGAGTAGGGGAAAAGGGAGCTGTTGATTTTGAAAATGGATTTTTAACTGAAGAGGAAGACGAGTGGGGACCCCCCTTCCATCAATGAGATGAGGTCCCTGAAAAAAATGTTTTCTATTTTCATGCCCTCTCACCACAACCACTACCCCCACCCCTTTAAAATTAGCATAGCTATTTCTTGATATCTGTTTCCAACCGTGGTCCTTTCAATTTGCCGAGTTTAAGACAGCCTTAGTCTTGTGGGGAGTTAAGGGGTACCCAGACAATTCTCACCTCTCCTTTGCAAATCAATAAAAGACTCCCTTCTCCCTACCTCCCTCCAGTCCCCTCCCCCCACATCCTTTTCTCTTCTAGGTGGAGATGCTGATCTCCATCTCATCCAATTAGTTAAGGAAAGCGTCAGAAACCGAGAAGACAATTCCCCTCTAGGCATCGATAATAGGGTGCAGCGGGCGGGAGGGGGGCTTCAGGGTGAATAGATGAATAGAGGGGTAAAAACAAAGATGCATAGTCAGAAAACAGACTATCACCAGCAGCGCTGGCCCCTCTCACCTCCGTTTCTCAGGTGAAGTTCCAGGGAAATGAAATCAGAACATACAGAGAGGAAAGTCAGCGTGTCCTCCTAATCTGCACAGTTTAGGAATAAAGAAATGTGAAAGCCTGGATCCTCTGAATGAAAATGTGGTGTATATGAAAGGGTCAGGTTTCAAAGACTCGATTCTCTTACCCTACCCCACCCTCTCATCACCCCAGTCATTTTTTAAAAGGAGAAAAAAAAAAAGAAGAAAAGTATATCTCTTTCTGTCTGGGGAGAAAGTCCTCTGAGTGACTTCTTCTGTTCCCTTAAATAAAATACACTTAGGCACCTGGCACATCTCAACGCAGTGACAAGGTCGAGATCACATAAGTGCTGTCCATTGATTCCATCGCCCAAAGTCAGTTATGCTTGGCCTCTTTTGGGGGGCTGGAGAGGGATTGGGGGGGGGTAGGGCACGCACGGAGGGCAAGATCTAGGGACGCATTAACCTTCCAGGATTTCTTGTAGTTGTGCTTTCTTTTCTTCAGATCACCCTCTATCTCCTCCGCTAGCTGCCCCTCCTCCTACTTTTTCTTCTTGGGATTTCCTCCCGAGCCTAAAAAACAGTCAACGCTAACCCCCTGAGGGCAGCAGCCCAAGGCTTTGCTGCTCGGGCCTGAGAGACTGCGGCTCATTTTAAACCAATAGCGCCACCTACTGGGAAAACTCAGGAGCAGGAGGCGAGAGCGGGCGGAACGAGCAAAGGGAAAAGAGGAAAAGGGGAGAGAAGGCGGGGGTGCAGACAAAGACGTCAATATGACAAATCAATGGAGAAGAAAGGGTCTTTCGCCCCAGGAGGGCATCTTTTTGCTCCACAACCTTCCACTGCAGCCCGTGAAGCCTAGGTTCCCCCAGGAAAAGCTTAAAGCTTCTAAAGAAAAGAATGGGCAAGCATTTGAAGGAGAAAATCATGATAGCAAAAAGGAGGGTTCGTTGTGAGAGGCAGCTGCCTAGTCTCTTTAAAGTGTGATCTGTGCATGTGAATGGTAAGAGGGGCAGCAGAGAGATAGAGAAGGAAAGAGGGAAGAGCCAGCCTGCTAGAACCCTGCCTTGGTTCAGCGACTGGTTAACCTTTCCCTTTCCCAAACGTCCTCCAAAGTTCACTTAATGGCAAAACAAAGGGAAAGATGCCAAGATGTAAAATGTGTCCTTTAGTTTAAATGTTGCCCAGTTCTTAACTTAAAGCCCTATCTTAGAGTAATTTAATACACACTAACCTAAGGTTGTCTTAACTTCTTAAATGCGTTATTATAATTTAAAGCTTAATTCAATAAACATATTTAGAATAGTAGTATGTATCCTGTTGATCTGCAATTGGAAGCCTAAAAGGGAAAGTGAATTTGACTCACTGATTATTAAACAATAGAACAGTGAAAAAGAGATTGGTTTGGTCTTGGTCATGGCTCCTTTCCCTTTCCCAAGTCTTTAGGGGCTGAGGAACACTTGGACAGCCCCTTTCCGCTGAAGTAGCTCCGATATCTTGTGCAAGTTCATATTCAAACTTATTTGCTTTAAAGACCTGGTCCCCCAACCCCTTCCTCTTCCTCCTTTAGCCAGCACTGAGTACTCAGCTAAGAGAGGATTGGTTGGAGAAAGGAGTTTATATTCCAGTAACCTTCAAATTTAGTTGCTATGATTACTATTTTCAGCATGTTAGAGGGGAAAATAAATGCTAAATTTCAATATTTTTTTAAACAAAGAAAAAACCTTTTAGAAAAACTTACTTAAAAAAAATTCTGGGCTCCTTTCAGCTCCCTCCAGGGTTTGGGGGAGAAAGACAATGGCTTTTCTTGGGCCTGTCGGTTTTATTCACCCAATAACAACCAACAATAAAATTTTTCAAAGGGTTGTGTGCTGTCTCTGCTGATGAGCATTTCTATTTTTGCCTGTGTGTATTTGTTTGAAGTGGGCCATAGGCGGCTGCCTGAATCCTTAAAAAATCAGGGAAATTTCTCAAACACATACTGACTTTTAGGAATATGCACCCAGAATACTAAAGGAAGCCTTTCCAGCCACAGCTGCCTGAAACCAATGCATCATTTAACTGTGATACACTGAGTGACTTTTTTCGTTTTCTGCTGCTTTTTCATTTTGAAGCCCTGTAGCAGCCTAATAATTTGGAGGGCCATGAGCCCTGCTTGGAACAAGACCTAGAACATAACCGCTCCCCTTTGAAACAGCTTTGTGTCGGAGGTCAGAAATCAGCTGCTTAAAATTCCCCTGTACATTGCTGCATTGTTCCAACACAGAGAAAAGTGCTTTAACTGCCAGATTCCTAAAAATAGGGCAAGGGGAAAGATGAGAGACTTGGATTGGCCAGAGTCTAGTCCACTAGCAATTCAGAATTCCTGATTTATCAGAAAGGAAATGCCCACAGGTGTTGAAAGAGGTCTAAAAGTATTTATCCGCCAGTGCTTGTGATATAATAAATTACTGTACCTCTTAAAAAAAAAAAAAGCTTAAGCTCTTCTACTCTTCAAATGATTTTCTTTCCTTTCTATAAAGAAACATTGACCAGATATATACACTGCCAGAAAATTGTTTGACACTTTGGATTCATCTTTGCAACAAGGTCAAATGTCCTCCAAAGTTCACTTAATGGCAAAACAAAGGGAAAGATGCCAAGATGTAAAATGTGTCCTTTAGTTTAAATGTTGCCCAGTTCTTAACTTAAAGCCCTATCTTAGAGTAATTTAATACACACTAACCTAAGTTGTCTTAACTTCTTAAATGTGTTATTATAATTTAAAGCCTAATTCAATAAACATATTTAGAATAGTAGTATGTATCCTGTTGATCTGCAATTGGAAGCCTAAAAGGGAAAGTGAATTTGACCCACTGATTATTAAACAATAGAAGAGCGAAAAAGAGATTGGTTTGGTCTTGGTCAGTGAGTGAAAATCGTGCCTCCTTTAGTTAACTTCCCGATGGCACAGTCTCTCGATCAGAAAAATGTTGCGCAGGAAAAGGAAAATCTTTAATTAATCTTGATACTCTCCCTCCACAGCAAGATGTCATTTTCTGAAGTCTAGGAGTGTCAAAAGCATTCTTCTCACCTATACTGTAGTAGGGGAAGATGATTTCTCCCACCTACAAGTAACCCTCAAATTAGTTCCTTCCATTGATCTGGGGAAATCCAATCATCCTATAACTGTTGTATAAAATGTATCTACCCAAAGATACCAAGACCAGAAATTTCACCATTCCTCATGTCTGTCTCTTCTTTTCTATACGTGTATACATGCAATTGGAATGCAATGTCCCACCTTTAATTAGGACTAGCTTTATATATGCAGGGTGTTCCAAAAGTCTTAGTGCCTTTTTTAAACTATTAAAGCTTAATATGCCTTTATACCTTTTAAAATTATTTCACTATCTTTTTTTCATTAAGTTTACAAATAGACACTTAACATTCTGCCATCTAAGTCTTGTGTTTCAACTGGGCAGAATCAAGAGATCTGAGTTCTAGTTGTAGCCTGCCACCATCTGGCTAAAAAACAGCTTTCTGTAATCTTGGGCAAGTCTCAGGATTTCTTTCCATTCCCTATTTTCCTCAAGGGCAGCTGAGTGACACAGTGGATGAAGCACTGTCCTTGTAGTCAGGAGGACCTGAATTCAAATCCAGCCTCAGATACTTACTGTATGACCCTAGGTAAGTCATTGAAACTTTTTGCCTCAGTTTCCTAAACTGTAAAATTAGCTGGAGAAGGAAATGGCAAGCCACTCTAGTATCCTTTCTACAATATCCAACCTTTGGGCTTTTGTTGAAAGACTTCTAGGAGAGGGAGCCCAGGGTCTCCCAAGGCACCCCAGTGAACTTTTCAATAGGTCCAATTGGAACAAATTTTTTCCTTCACATCAAGTACAAAACTTCTTTGTTCCTTCCATTTGTTACTGCAGTTCTGATTCTGTGTTTTGGAGAAAAATAGAACTAGTCTAATCCTTTTCTTACACAACCCTTCAGATACTGAAGATAATGAACCTGAATGG